ATGGGAAGACCCTCTTGATTCAAGAGAAAACTCAGTTTCTTTTAAAAAATGGCTGCTTATTCAACTTCAGATTAATTCATTATCAATAACTTGCATCCTTAAGGAGTTAACTTAATTTATATCTACTCATATTCATGTAATTAAGCGTTTTAATGATTTGGCCGATTAATTGAAAAAATAATCAACCGATTAATCGATTATTAAAATAATCGTTAGTTGCAGCCCTAGTATATTTAAGTATTTTGTATATTTGAGCATTAATCAGGTAACGCTTTTAAATTTGAGTTAAAAAGTCATAACATCTTTGTTTTTCTTCCTGTAGATCACTTCGAGTTCTGGTGTTGCTGAAGAGGAAGTTGAAGAAATACGAGCGGGAAGAAGGAGGCAGCAGGTGTTTGGTTTGAACCTAAAACAGTGGAAAGCATAGCTGAAGTACTTTGTGTTCAGTAAAACCAGAAAGTGCAAAAAAAAGAAGTTAACTATTTTTCTAAGTAGAATGCAACTACATGTCTATATAAATGTAGATAATATAGACATATATACGTCCATAAATCCTAAACTCTCCCTGTTTTCTCCTTCAGACGCTCTCAGCTCTGCAGGCAGATGCGAGGGGAGCTGCTGTCCATCCTCAGCTGCGCGGCGGACCTCTGTAATGCTGTTCACTGGATGCCTCCTGGTTTCCTGTGGGCGGGGCGATTCCCCAGCTGGCTGGTGGGCTTGCTGGGCACCATCTCCTCTCTGATCGGGTTGATTCAGATGAACAGCAGTAGTGAGCAGTCAGACGCTGCAGAGTCCTCGTGAAGGAGAGGCATGAACTTTTTAATCAGCGCTGATGGGATTACGAATATTAGTTAAAAAATGTCTGTAGAGATTTATTTAACTCTTAGCATTAATCATAAAATCTTAATCCTCTGGACTTCTTTCTGTCTAGTGGGTGAATAACTAGAAATGTTTGCAACAAACAGTTTGAATTTTTTAATGGATTTTTTCCCCCAAATCTGTTGTTTTTTAAAGTGTCTTGATATTTCATAGCAATCAATGTTTTGTTCTTTGAATAAAAATATTTACATGCCATTTCAGTGAAGTGTAGAAAACAAAACATTTACAGAAGTCCACTAACGATACCTAGGAATGCCTAAGAAAACAACAAATTTGCTGTTTTGTTTCATTGTGCAAGCTTGATCTAAAGCAATTTCAACTTGATTTTATTTTTAAAATGTAAAAACATTACAAGCCATAATACACAGCTATAATTATGTAAAAGCTGATTTATTTTTAAAGAAAGACAATTTACAGAATCAACCTAATTCTATTGGATTGTTTAAAAATTAAAGATAATTTGACATCTTTCCAACGAAAAGCGTGCACTTTGATATTTTACTCTTTTTTTATTTTCTGTTTCAGATAGCACAAATTAATTTTTCCTAATGGGTAGATACACCTAAAGCTGTCTTTTAAATTGTAAATTTGATGTAAATATTAAATACAATGTATAAATAAATAAAGACTTAAGCTTTTTCCTTTTTTTTCAATCGAAATATCGTTGTTTGATTAAAAGGACTGTCTGTTACCTTCAAGTGTAACTGGGACGAATCGTAAATACAAATTATTCAACGCCAGTAATGGCACTTGTAGAATTAATCATTGCATTAATCCGTGATAATTTTCTTTTAACATTTAAATCAAATTGAGTAAGTAGTTCTAAATTAATAGCATTATGTATAAGTACGCGTGCAGCGCAGGAGAACAAAACAAGGTAAGATTTGGGGAAATACGAGAGTACTTGAACGCAACACAGATACCGAATAAACTCATAAATTAAAGCTGTCGGTCTACAATAGCAGCAAATATGAAACCGAATCGGATTTACACCACGGATGTTATCTTTTACCAGCATTTGTTGTGAAGTTGCTACATTTAGCAGGGCTAGTGTCGTGAATATGAAAAATGTAACAAAGTTTTGTGAAAGGTTCAAATTCCTGACCACGTCAACTYGTCGGTTGTGTTTCTAACAGGAGGAGTCTGTTTGGACACAGACACAGAAAAAGACAAATTATTTGGTGAGAGACTCCCTTTCAACCACYGATACCAGCGAGTTTTATTATGTTTCAGCCTCGTTTTTAATCGAGTAGCTTCTGGACCAGTTAAAGTTAGCCATGCTAARCTGTTAGCTTTAGGCTAGTTGAATTGCTACTTCCACTTTTTTTTTTTATTATTGCAGTTTTTAGTGCTGTTTTTATTCTTATTAATCTAACAGAGGGAGAGAGTAAATGCTGAATAGTTTGTGCATTTTGTGGGAGTATTTTTTAAAAATAAGAGTTTTGTTGGATCTGTAAACTGCTAATAGTTGTTGATGCTATTTTGCAGGAATTATGTATTTTCCCTGGAAGATTAAATAATTCTAGTTTTACTTCTTTAAAAATAGCTTTCATTATCAGCTCAAGTCTCTAAAATCTGTATGATTTATTATTTAAATTTGCATCAGTTTCATTAAACAAACAATAAACATTTGTTTACATGTCTGCAGATCTGCACTATTAATTTCTGTTCATTTGATTTAATTTGCAACAAATCATCTCAATCACTGTAAGCACTATAAATCCAAATTCARTTAGTCAGTTTAATTAAGTTAACTGTTTTGTTTTGCAGATATTGTTCCAGATATCATCATTAAGAAGTCGACACAGTGATGCTTGTTTTCCTCTGAYACAAAATGGACTCAGACTTCTTCTCTGTGGATCAATCAGCTCCTGCACTGAGTCATTTGGACCCTGTTAAAAGAGCTTCAGAGGATGAAGAAGCTCCGTCAACGTCAGAAGCAGAGRATCTCGATTCCTTCAACCTGATCGAGCCCCCTCCTCTGGACTGGAGGTCGGACTCTTCTAGTGAAGTCGGGTCTGCAGAAGTTCTGGATGATCCGAACCTGGGCTTGACCGGTCTGGGAGGACCGGTGACGCCGCCTTTGGCTGTGAGAGACGCGTTGATTCAGCTCGACACAAACCAGGTGCTTCTGGAGAACGAAGCAGAGCCAGAAGTACAACCTAAAGAGGACAATGGAGTCGGGTTAGGAGATAAAGAAGAAGCCGATGAGAAGAAAGTCTGTAAAGAAGAAGTTGAGGTTTCAAACAGGAGGCCAGGCGATGAAGATCACAGCCGTATTCACAGCTTACTCTCACAGCTCCAGCTAATGGAGAAAGAGCCTCATCCCGGTCACCAGATGCCGGAGCAGGAAGCTCGTGCTCCGTGTGCGTTAACGGACAACAGAACTGGAACCACGGGCCTGCTGTTCTCTGACAGCCACCACAGAGACCTGCTGGGACTGCTGCAGTGCACAGAGATCTCCTCCACCTCCGATCCCTCCTGCCTGCCGCACAGAGGCCAGGTGGACGCCGTTGTGTCGGTCTCCTACAGTCAGGAGGACGCTCRGGTGTTCTGGGGACAAAACGGTCGGCGGCAGAGAGACGACTCCATCGCCTCTCTGCCTGACGAGGAGTATCCTGAGCCTGTGTGGATGAAGCTGGGAGAGGAGCCGCCGGAGGACGACKCTGCTGCAGAAAGTGATCAGGTCAGTGCTAAAACGGCTAAAATACTGAATGTTGTCGTTTCTGTACAACATCCCGACTTCCTCTTGGAACATTTATAGAAATATTTCATAATTTCTGATGATTTCCTAAATAAACCACGCTCTTCTAATCTTTTTTTAGTCAAATCAAATCATCAAATTTTAACGTACKCATGATTAATAATCTCAATCATTTCAACTTTCCTTATTTTGTTTTTAATTTTAACAACTTTTAGGCAGCTGATGATGAACCGTCATATAAAAACGGTGAGTTTGCTCTTATTTCCGCCAAAGAAACATCTGAAAATGGCTCTGTTTACCATAGTTATCTTTATGTGTTGTTYTGTGTGAATGTGCAGTGCCGGGGCCTTGTGACCCTGAAGACCTGTTGGACGGAGTTATATTCGGTGCGAATTATCTGGGCTCCACTCAGATCAAATCAGACAGAAACCCTTCGACAAGCGCTCGCATGACACAGGCTCAGGAGGCCGTTGACAGAATTAAGGTGAATCTATCAAACAGATCTGCATTATTGTCTCTAACAGATGTCCACCTTTACAGGATGCTTATCGTCTACGTTGATTTTATTAAAATAAAGCATTTRTTTGTTTTTCTGTTTGTTTCTCAGCTCAGCTTCATGTTTGCAAATCAACTTGCAGAGTGAATTTTTCTTTCTCTCTCTGTGTGTGTGTGTGTGTGTGTGTGTGTGTGTGTGTGTGTGTGTGTGTGTGTGTGTGTGTGT